TTAACTCTATTTATAATTTTATAAAGGAGAATATTTGTAGCTCAGGGTTGACATGAGGCGTCCTTGGTGCTCTGAGCTTGCTTGTTTTCTAGCAGACATTTCATTACCCAAACTAGGTAACATCATCAGTGCTAGTAAGGAGTGCAGTTTGCTGTCAATTTATATTCTAGTGGCTTGCCTGCTAGTGTTGATGGGGATGGTCTTAGAGATTCTTTAGTTGGGCGGTTTGCTGTTGGCTTCTTTGGCAGTTCCTTGTTTGGGGTATTGTTTATTTGATTCTTGGTCTGATGTTAACCTTGGAGTTAACCCATGCTGATGTGGATGCTGATTGCTGGTGGAGACATGCTTGGGGTCTTTTTGTTCCTTTTTTGTTCCTCTTTTGCATAGTCTATAGATGTTATTAACATCTGTGTGTCTATTGATGGCTGATTTGTCATCAATTGTTTTCAACCAGTGTCTCCATTTTCATGTTCAAATGATGTACCGTGCTGCCCTGAAAATAAGACCCGGTGTTATTTTTTTCCCCCAAAAAAGAGACATTAGCTCTTATTTTGGGGGGATGTCTTTTTCACTGTCTCATGGCAGGAGCATTGACAGCTCCGCCAGCAGGAGCCTGTGTGGCCATTGCTGGCCCACTTCTGCGGCCACTTGTTGCCACTCATGTGTGGCACCCCTCCAGCCTCTGTTTCAGCATCGGAGGCCTTCAGGAAAGGCCTCTGCAGACAAGAGATGAGCTCTAGATTGACGCGCACGTGGTGCCCCCAGCCCAGTGGTGGGATTTAAATTTTTTTACTACTGGTTCTGTGGGCGTGACTTGGTGGGCGTGGCCATGTGACTGGGTGGGTATGCTTTTTTTTTTCTTTTTTTTGCAGCCATTCTCCCACCCGGTTTTTGGGCCTTCTGGACCTCAGAAGAGCCTTGGGGGGGGGGGCGTTTTTGCTCCCAGAAGGCTCCTCTGGGGCTCAGGAAGAAAAAAAATGAAATAGGAGGGGCACACAGGACCCCCCCCCCCTTGTTCTGTTTTGAGGTCTTCTGGGCCTCAGGCAAGTTTCCTGGGAGGGCGTTTTTGCTCCCAGAAGGCTCCCCTGGGACTCAGGAAGGCAAAAAATGGAGGGGAGGCTGCATCACTCCCTCCATTTTTTGCCTTCCTGGGCCTCAGCAAGGGGAATCCCGGCACAGCTGATTGTATGAACAGCTGATTGTCAGGAGGGAAAGAAAAAAAAAAAGAAATACCTTAAGGGGCGAGCGTCAGGGGGCAGGGCAAACGAGCCAGTGGTGATCAGGCGACTGGGTCGGGGGCATGGCCAGCAGAACTTACTAACAGTTCGGCGACCCACGCCAAATCCTTGCTACTGGTTCACATGAACCGGTGCGAACCGGCTGAATAACGCCACTGCCCCAGTCTCCATTTTGCATGTCAATCGAGAACTCATTTCTCATCTGCAGAGGCCTTTCCTGAAGGCTTCTGATGGTGTGACTAAGACCAGGGGTGACGCGCATAAGCGGTGGCAAGCTGTGGCAGAAAAAGTGGGCCGGCAAGGTGAGGCAGGTGTTGGGATGTGGAAGGCATGGCTGTAACTGTCCTAAGGTAAGCAAGCATGTGCAGGGCACGTGAGGTAGCTCCAACCCCCCATTCCTACCCTAGCTTGATTTTTACCTATGTGCCTTGCACCACCTCGTGCAACCAGGTGCAACAGAGTGGGTAGGATCTTAAGTAGAGCTTATTTTGGAGGTAGGGCTTATATTGGGCACACACATAAAAACCAAACTATGGCTTATTTTTGGTATAGTTATTATTTTCCATCTTCAAGGATTTTCTCATTCTGATATCACTGCCATTTTTGATAATTGGGAATCCTCATTTAAGATGTTTAAGTCTTATATCTACTTTATATGGTCTTCAGGTGCTGGTTCCTTGACAAATAAATTGAGATATTTTGTGATATGGGTGATATGGGGGTGCTTCTGAGTGCTAAGCTAAAAATTCTTGTGTTGGGAAATTATTGTGTCTAATGTTCAGTTTAATTTGCATCCAGCATACTTCCAATAAATCCCTATAGCCAAACCACAACACCACTCAGTTCATCCACCAAATAATGTAGCTTTTTTTAAAAAAAATGAACATCAGTAAAAAAAATTTAAAACCCCACCACCACAGTTGACAGATAATTTGGACAAAAGGTTGGCAAAAGAAGGGAGAAAGACATGAACAATTTAGGCCTATATGACATAACAATTTACATCTATATGTCTTTTATCAAAGAATAAAGAACTTTCCAGAAATAATTGGAAATGATACTGAGGGTAACCAACATGGACAATTACAAAGGGAGTAGTCTGTGGTTACTCCAGCCTTAAAACTCCTTTTGGATATAATGGTAGCAGAATAGAGATGGAAAGTAGGATGTCAGGTGAAAAAGTCTGAGAATGTTGTGGAGAGCCAGGAGGAGGAGGAGGAGGAATGGCATACTAGGCAATTAAGAGGGGACTTAGCTTTCAAAAAGAATGGGGATGTGGCAGTTGTCTCAAAAGGGACCCTCCCTAGTTTCTTGGACTGTAAAGATGAATGGGGGGGGGGGGAGATAACTTTTCAATCTTGCAAGATTATGTTACTATAACCTGACAATAAAGATAGTGTTAATTCTTGTAGTTAGTGCTTCTTAACTAGTGTACCTCAAAAAGTGATCAGCAAATGAGCCTTCCTCTATTCTGCACCAAAAAACAATAATAACAATTTGATGATTCCAAAGATGCTAGTCAAAAGGCAATTGAACTTTCCTGGTTTTTCTTTGAAAATGTTCCATTTGTCATCTAACAAGCTTCTTCAGTTCTCTATTGATTGAGAATCTCCACATACAATAATTTGGTGGGTTAAGAGATATAACCAACAGCAACGTAGTAAAACTCGTATTATTTTTTAGCGGTGCAATGGCTACATAAGCATACATCTCTAAGCTAGCTGTATGCTGGTGTATGCTGAGTGACAAAGAGGCACCAATCCCTGTAGGACATCACTCCCGCTTGCCTGTTGATTGTGTTACATTTCAGTCAGTTGGCCTTTAAACTGTGAGACACACATTGTCTTTACATGACAAGAATCCAAGTGCATTTTAAAAACATGATTAACACTTGGAATCCTTATCCAACCTGTCCCTGGTTGTTTAGCTTTCAGAACCAAATTGTACTGGAGGAAATGTGCTGTATCATATGTCATCTTGTTTGAATTTTCCTCCGATTTAGAAATGTACTTTAGAGTATCATTGCCATGTGAACTGTGTCCCTTGCAGCTTCTTAGTAGATAAGCACCGCTTTATATTTTATTAGAACAATTTGACTCCTGATGTGAACTCGGGACTCATTAATTGTATAATGCAGTGCATTGGAGTTGGAAAAATACAGGATGCAAATATGTTCTTCATTAGATACTCTAATACTATCCAGATATAGAGTGTGCATTTTGTAATGTGGTAGTCAGAATGTAGTAGGCAACTAGCAAATTGTTGACAAGGATCATCTGTTGTTCATTTTATTCTGGAGTCTGAAAGAAAAAAAAACTTTAAGTTTTAGTATTCAGTGTTGCTTGCTGCTGCTTATCATGACTCAATAAACAGATCTTAGACTGTGGGATTGTCTTCCATATCAACAATAATCACTGTCTGCAGTACAACAGACATTTGCAAATCAATTTCAGGGCAACACAACTGGTCACATAGCAATGAAGCATTCAGTAGAGACCATTCATTGACAGGGACAGATTTTTAAAAAATCTTCCAAATGCAGCGTTCACTTTTTTTGAGTTGACTAAGTGTTGATTCATTTGGTTGAGGCAAAAATTGACTGACCAACTTATCGCCTGAGCCTGACATCATGGGCTGAGAGAGACTGACTGGCCCAAAGGCACCAAGCCAGCTTTCATGACTAAGATGGGACTAGAACTCACCATTTCCTGATTTCTAGCCTGGTACCTTAACCACTCCATCAGCCTTAACCACAAGATCAAACTGGCTGTCTTTTGATGGAAATGAATTTTCTCCCTGTGAATTTCAGCTTGCATTGTCATTGGCAGTTGCCATACCTTTCACAATATTCCTGGCTGCGCACCACAAGGACAGAGTCATTTGAAATATCGGATCTATATTTCTAAAGACTGGTAGAAGAAATGTTGTCCCCTGATCGTACTATATCACTAACCAACAGGTCTATTAAATTAGATCCAAAGGAAGAAAATATCTGTAAGGGTGATTCTGACATACGAGATTGTATACGTCACCACTGTCACTTCCCACAGAAGATAGTATCACAGTGGCTTCTCCAGGAGGAACTGGAGCTGTTCCATTTCTGTTCAGACATATGGTTATGCAATACCAAATGTTCAGAAACAAATTCTTTCTATGTATTTGCACATTGACATCTGGTACCGAGAAATTTAAAGCCTTTGAATATTCTGAAGGCTTGGAATAGTTGGTGACTATCCTAAGAGGAATAAAAATTAATACGGGTTGGCAATGTGCTGGCTCATGAATTGTGCTGTTTTTTGTGTGAGCATGGACCAAGTCTGTGACGATACAGTTTCCAAGACCAATCAAAGGGAAAAAAATCCACTCATTTTATGTATACAGTGATGGGATCCGAACAATTTCTAAGTAACCAAGAAAAAAATTATAGTGAATAGTTTAGTGAAGATGTTGGCTCATATATATATGAGCTGACCAGGAGCTTGAGCCCAGGCCAAGAAAATATCTTGAGAAAATGTCTTCAAATATGCCTCCTCCTAGTTCTGGTGTTGCAGTGGTCAGTATGCAATATTGCATGTAAACTCTGGCCACAGCCAGGAATTTGATGCTCAAGGTTGACTCAACTGCCCATCCTTCTGAGATTGGTAAAATGAGGACCCAAATTGTTAGGAACATATGCTGACTTGTAAATAACCCAGAGAGTGCTGTGAAACACTATGGGGTTGTATATAAGTCTAAGTGCTATTGCTACTGCTATTGTTACAGTTCACCCGAAGGTAATGTGAGGGAAATATATTCAGGCTTGCAAAATTCTACTGCTGTAGTGATTATAAAAGTAATAACCATAGCTTTATAACTATAGTGATTAAATGTAACCTGACCTATGTGGCATTAATTACTTAGTCTGGTCTACTTTTTAATGTATAGTTGTTATCAGGTTAGTATAATTCTATCTCCTTGAACATAGTGAAATCTTGTTATATGCCTGTAAAATTTAGCAGACTTTAATTATCCATCAGCAAACCTGCCACCAATTGTAATTTTTATCTTGTTTTTTAAATTGTGTTTTTGTTTGTAATTCTGGAGTGATCCATATATATAGTATCCATATGAAGGATAGGATAAGATAGGATAGGATATGTATGTATCTATCCTACCCTACCCTACCTTACCCTACCCTATCCTATCTGCTCATAGCTTGTTGAGAAGGAACACAATTGTTCTTTTTTAAAAAACAAACTATCCAATGTAAACAGAATACAAAACAAAAACAATATAATTTGAATACTGTTAAGAGAGCTATCATTGAGTAAACCTTTGGAGTATGTTTAAAACCATCATTTTCTTACAATACCATTTGCTTTGCTTTTATTTGCTTTGCCCTAATAAAAAGATTAGTGTTAACATCATAAAAGAAATAACTTTTCTCAAGACGGGATAGTTATACCATAGCAAGAACTGCAGAGGTTGCAATACTATCAGGAATATGTGTAGAAGAGCAGGCAGAGCTGGAAGGCAGAGTTAAACACATCAAAAGTTTAGAGTCCTTGTGTTGCCACAGGAGATCCAAGTCTAGTTGCCCTTGAATTCCATTGACCCTTTCTAGCGCTAATTTAATGCTGACAATCAGTTAATCAGTTTCTTGTGGTTAGCTATGAATAAATCATCTACATTGTAACTTTATGAATGGTCCTGATTCTTTGTGCTGCCAGAAAAGCCCAAGATAGGCTACACTAAGTAACTCCATTGAACCGGAGCCTCCTGAATAATCAAGAATTGGTTTGGCTTCTGGTTTGAAGTCTCTTCGGCGACAGACAGAAATCCGCGATCGTGCGCGGTTTTGGTCTGGGCTCACCGCTGGAGACTTAAAGAGACTTAAATAAGAAATCGGAAAAATCCGCTTTGACAACAACAGGCAATTAAGCTGAAAATAAAACAAAATGTCAAAGGGATAATAAAGATTTCTGGACACTAATTTTTTTTTTCCATAAGCAGGAAGGGAGAGAAAAAGAATAAGGGCAGGATCTGGAAGAGTGAGGAGACTGCCTGGAATTAAAAAGAATCTACAGTAAAACCTCAACAAGACTTCTAAAAGATACATTTTAATTGAAACTTTGTAACTAAACAGTAACCCCAGGAAGAGAAAGTGAAGAAAAAGAGCAAAAAGAAACAGCTTGTGTGTATTTGGATTATTTGGTGATCTTTGGATTCTTGGTTATTACATTTGAATGACTAAAATTAATCGGGTGGTTGTTTAAAAATTTATACAATGGCACCTCTTCTGGATGAATTGAAAATGGAACTTAAAAAGTACAAAGAAGATGCACAAGAAGGGAAGGGTTCTTTTGGCTTCGTTTTTCAATTCTTAGAAATGGAGATTTGGAACTATGAGAAACAACAAGAAATGTCTGCAAAACAAGAAGATTGGGACAAAGAAGAAGCCATCTGTAATGAACAAGTAATTTTATGTGGGGAAGAAAAAGGAAAGGGGGGAAAGAGAATGGAGAATTTAAGACTTAAAAAAACAACCAAAGAAAAGAAAAATAATTTGAAAAATAAGTATAATACTGGAAAGCAACAGAAAAGGGGAATACAGAAGAGAGAAATAGAGTAGAGAGACAAGGGGGTAAAAAGGGGAGAGAGAAGAAGAGAGGGAAGAAGGAAAGGAAAAGAAGTTACAAAGGACCGGAGCAAGACATAGAGAAACAGGACCTATTTAGAGATAATGGGTGAAAATCTAACTGAAAAAGGGATTCTGTAAAGGTACATAAGGTTATATTGTTATATTAGTAATAGAAATAACTTTAGAAAATTGGAAACAACGTATGATTAAAATGAGGGATAAAGTAGTTAGTGTAATTTAGTGAAATGTTTGTGAATAAAATAAGCGAAATAAAATAAATGAGACAATTGAATTAGGAAGGAACGGGAACATTTTAATTAGTTAATGTTTTATAAAATATAAGTGAAGGGGGGGGGAATTAACTATGGAAAGCTTATAATTGTTCCCATAGAAGTATGATATTTAATTGAAAAGTAATGTTAAAGAAGTTAAGATTTTAATGAATATTAATATTAATGATAGAATTGAATTGGAATGGAATGTGTTGTTTTAATTACATACATTTATATTTTTGTTCTTTTCTTAAGAATATAGTGTGTATTTTAAGAATGTACCAAGCAGAATCCGAATGGAAGTTATGTATTATATTGAATGTTATAACTTTAGGGTATATATTGAAGCCTAAATAAGAGTTAAATGGATAAACTTAAAAGATATAAAGGCGTCATACTCCAATCAGTAACTACAGGATAAATTTTGTTTAATGAGAAAAGATAATAGATAATTGAAACAGGACAGACAAAAAAATATAAATACAATGATTTGAATTGAGATGAGATAATTAAAATAAAACTGAGAAAATTAAAAGAGGGGAGAAGCTATGCAGAAAATGTAAAATAGTAATAAGATATGGAATAGAATATAAAAATGAGCATGAACCTGAATTTGTGTCTGTACGAAGAAATGTAACCCGGGATTACGCTACTTTCAAAAAAGATGTTTTATTTGTATTTTTTTTTCTTTGTGAAAACTCAAATAAAATTTACAAAAAAAAAAAAAAAGAATTGGTTTGGTTTAGTCTTGTTCACTCAAACCAAATCACATTTTAGGCTAACACAACACCTAAAAAGGTTCTGTGATAAATATACAGGCATAGTATCATGCAATATTCAACAGAAAGCAGATATATTTTTGATTTATAAAGTGACAGAATGTCTGGGGCCAAATTATCTACAATATTATCTTATATATTACAAATCTAGCCCTCTTTTTATACCATTTACGGCTTTTGTAATACTCCTGTCTAATGAATGGATGTTTACTAAAACTGGATACAGTAAGTAGTGATGCCCCAATCTAGTTCTCCACCAACTTCATCACTCTTTAGATGCTGCTGTTCTATTCACTTTAGCATTAAGTGAAAGATGTGTTTGCTTCTGTTTCCTTATTAAAGGTTTGGTAGATTTTTAGGCCATATATGGTATTACACCTTGTGAGATTTTTACCTGTCTTTAACACTGTAGATTGCCTGCTTTCAAGAACCCCAGTATGCATTTAGGGTTTTAATTCCTTTATTTGCTAGAAATGATGAAATACATTGTGATAAGGAAAGACGAAATGGATCAGATCTTTTCTAACTGGCATTTTGTAATTTATCTTGTGGGATTGGAGAGTCATCTAAATTCTGAATCATAAATGTAGAAATTGCCTGTGTGAGACATTCTCACATTTGAAGTGGTTTAGCAGAATTTATCTCTCCATTGTGTTAAAAATTATATTTAGGTCGTAGGACTCCATAGGCTTACATAACGATCAACCCGTTCTTTGAAAGGTACTTAATAAGTTTCAGTTGTGCCTTCAACAATAAACAAATGTTAGATGCTGAGTTCTAATATTCAGTAGCTTAAATAGCACCTCAGTTTATGCTAACTTGATTTGATGAATAGACTTCTTGCTATAGTTTTAAATCTTGATTAGATGTGGTGATTATTTTAATCTTTGAGATGCTTCCTGAAGTTTCTGTGCTCTTTTATTTCCAGAAAAGTGGATTGCTATAGCGTTTTGAGACAATAATAACACCATTGAATAAATGTGTGTAGTCAGTAACCACTGTCAGAAATATTTTGTAAGTTCTGAGTTAGACCCCGAGATGTGCTAGTGTTGGGTGACCTAGAAATGGGATAGATGGATGGATGGGTAGATGGATGGATGACTGACTGACTGAATGAATGAATGAATGAACGAATGAACGAACGAACCTCTAGTCTTAGGAGCAAATGGGCCATCTAACTTTAGCATGGCCTGCCTGGCAAATTACTCAGCTTGTCTCCCATTGACAGATAAAAAAGCAATTCTTCTCCAGCTATTGTATCCATGCATACAACTTGCTTCATCAATGTAAAAATACTTCATGCAAATTCTGAGAATTTGGATCCTGAGCATCTGACCATATTGGCTGGTGGTGTGGTTAAAATATAGTTGTGTATGAATTCTAGCTAGGTGAAATATCAAATGAATAACAACAAGAACTGAAGTCAATAAAAAAACAGTCAAGTGAACATGTGGCAGTCATCTGGCATTTGCTAAGAAGACTGGAGGATGGTGGAGAACAAATGAATGGATGAAAATGTAAATGGCTGCTGACATTGCTGGCAGATTTTGCTGATGAGAAACAGAGATATTGTTAAAAATTAGACTAAAATATTGCCGTTGTTTGGGAATAAATGTTCACCTGATAAATTTAACTATTTTTTAAAATCCTAAATTGTAGTTTTGTTTTTATTCCTGTCTTCCTTATTCATTCTTCCTTAAAGCATATTCATCTGGTTTCTTCCTCTCTTGCTACTGTTTCTACTGAAAAATGAACAGAAGTGTATGGGCATAAATGGATGATGTTTGTCAGAAGAGCAATTTGTGAGTGAGAGGGAAAAATAGTTAGTGTATTCCAAATGGGAAATCAGCCTTGTTTTGTTATTAATCCAATGGATTTACTGTCAAAGGCTCAGGGATTATACTGATTCAGGGAAGACAAAGGCCAACTATTTTTTTAAACAAAAAAGAGACCTTACAAAAATATACTGTTTATACTGTCCAGTGGAGTTAGTCAATTTATATATTCAAATAAAGAAAAGCAAATAGATAATGTTCTATAATAAACAGTGATATGGCATCCTTTTTCTTTAGTTCTCATTTAGCGTTCATCTATCTCATTTA